ATTCTTACTTTGCCGTGCAAGTAATTCATACGTTGCCGTGTAAGTAATTCTTACGTTGCCGTGCAAGTAATTCTTACTTTGCCGTGCAAGTAATTCTTACGTTGCCGTGCAAGTAATTCTTACGTTTCCATTTAAGTAAATCTTTATTGATTTTCTACCGTGTTCTCGTCGTGTTCTCAGTCCTGCGTTCAGTCTGGCAGCGACTGCGATCACCGCTCGCACCACCGTATTTCTTGCCAGCGTTGTCGAGCAGCTTCTTTTTATTTTAACTCTTAAGCGTGTTGTCGTGCGTAATATTTTATTTACTTTTACTCATATCCGTGTTGTCGTGCGTAATATTTTATTTATTTTAACTCTGAACCGTGTTGTCGTGCACTCGCTTGTCGGTGAGTCGAGTGTTGACTGCCTATCTGCAGCCGCCTCTTCTCGGCTGTCGCAATCTCTTTCAAGTTTACATTTTTAAAATCTTTACTGAAGAAATTCGCTTCATAAATATGAGTTTGTATGAATTTTGATGGTAACTATTAAATCGCTCGCATTATTTTAATTTGGGAAGAACTACGACTCTGTGCTGTTCTGTGGAGGACTATTTTTTTGGAGGGGGACAAAGGTTAGCTCTAACTTCATCGTACACATTGCGTTTTATGTAGGCCAATGAGCCTGCAAGTCTATTTTCTAGGCCCCCCAACAAGTCTTAGTTGTTCTTAGCTACTATGTACTTTCTAGATGTTTAATGAACATGTTAGTATTTTTTGTTTGCCATGTTGATGACTAAATCCGTTCCTAATTTTTCGATTAACGAATTCAGCAGTTTTAATTTCTCTCGTGAAAGTCAACACGCTGCCGCCTTCGCCTTTAGAAAATGCCAAGGCTGCTTGCTGGCACAATTTTCACGTCCTGGGCGGCTGGCTCCGGCGCAAGAGGCGTCGTCAAGTGCAAGCAATTGGCTCTTGTTTGTTGGCCGTGTCGCGGCGACCGTGTTACTTGAGCGCCACCACGATGTTGCCCGGCACTTTGCTGGGCCGTGTTACTTGAGTCGCCACGGTGTTGCACGGCACTTTGCTGGGCCGGTGTTACTTGAGTCGCCACGATGTTGCCCGGCACTTTGCTGGGCCGTGTTACTTGAGTCGCCACCACGATGTTGCCCGGCACTTTGCTGGGCCGTGTTACTTGAGTCGCCACCACGATGTTGCCCGGCACTTTGCTGGGCCGTGTTACTTGAGTCGCCACCACGATGTTGCCCGGCACTTTGCTGGGCCGTGTTACTTGAGTTGCCACTACGATGTTGCCCGGCACTTTGCTGGGCCGTGTTACTTGACTCGCCACCACGATGTTGCCCGGTACTTGGGCCGTGTTACTTGAGTCACCACCACTTGACACTTTCGCTCGCCGCATATACAGATGTTGGCATCGTAGTTCACAGCAGCACGCAGCTCTTTCACTTGGCTTCATTGCGGACGATTTCTGCAGAGGAGTCGCCGGCTCTGTTTTAGTTTATGGCTCCCATAGACTAGACTCCGCGCTGCGAGGAGAGAACCGAATTCATCTTCAATTGGAGCTTGTATTTCCTAAGTAAAAGCAAGCTCGTGTTTCTTCAGTTGTAATGCTTTATACCCGTTGCTGAATTCGACCTTATCTTATTTGGCAATTCGCAATTTTGCGTTCTTTTATTATATCTTGGCGAGTCTGTCCGCTAAATCAGCTCATTTGTGTGACCTAAAAGGAAAAACATTCAATGTGTTGCAAGATATTCTACATAATATATATTTGATCCTGCCCGCTCCAACTTACCACTCGTTCGTTTTCTCTGTACACAACAGATCAAAAAATGGGAAAATTATTACCACTCGCTTTTTACCCATGAACATTTGATATAATCATTATGAAAACCAACTAAGTGTAATCTGTAGTATGGCTCAACGAGATTGAACTTTACAATGCCAACGTTGCGTCTTGACTGACCATTATGTGTCACTGACCATTAAGTCACCATTAAGTGACTTAATGGTGACTCGCAGTGACTTGACTGACCATTAAGTGTAACTGCATTAACCCATTAATGTCCCGAATCTGCTCATGTTTGAGGCGATGCGTGCCGCGATGTAGTCAACATAACTCGCCGCGCTGAACTATATGACGGCCCTCGCAGCAGCCCCGCTGAATCTCAAGTTCATTCATATTTAATAAGTTTATTTTATTAGTGTGAATGCTGCCCAATGAGTGGTCATGCGCCAGCCTGCTGTTGGATTGATGCTAGCCTAAAATAACCCGATGCTGGCCCATGATTTGTCTGACGCTGGCCCATGATTTGTCTGACGCTGGCCCATGATTTGTCTGACGCTGGCCCATGATTTGTCTGATGCTGTCCCATGATTTGTCTGACGCTGGCCCATGATTTGTCTGATGCTGTCCCATGATTTGTCTGATGCTGGCCCATAAGTGACCCGATGCTGGCCCATAATAAAAGGCCCGATGCTGGCCCATAAAAGGCCGGACGCTGGCCCATAAAAGGCCCGATGTTTGCCCGTAAGTGTTCCGATGCAGGCACACGAGTGGCCTGATGCAGGCGCACGAGTGGCCTGATGCAGGCGCACGAGTGGCCTGATGCCGGCGCACGAGTGGCCTGATGCAGGCCCACAAGTGGCCTGATGCAGGCCCACAAGTGGTGGGATGGCGGCCCACGAGTGGCCTGATGCAGGCAGATGCTGACACTCGTCTGGATGTTTGCCAGCAGCTGCAGCTGCATTAATAACATCTGCTGCCAGCACTACACATGCAGCTGCGGAACCCAAGCCTTCCGAGCGCGCTGTTCGTGCCAATAACAACGTTCATGCCAATAACAACGTTCATGTCAATAACAACGTTCATGTCAATAACAACGTTCATGTCAATAACAACGTTTATGTCGATAACAACGTTCATATCAATAACAACGTTTATGTCGATAACAACGTTCATGTCGATAACAACGTTCATGTCGATAACAACGTTCATGTCAATAACAACGTTCATGTCAATAACAACGTTTACGTCAATAACAACGTTCATGTCAAAACAACGTTCATGTCAATAAAAACGTTCATGTCAATAACAACGTTCATGTCAATAACAACTTTCATGTCAAAACAACGTTCATGTCAATAAAAACGTTCATGTCAATAACAACGTTCATGTCGATAACAACGTTCATGTCGATAACAACGTTCATGTCAAAAACAACGTTCATGTCAATAACAACGTTTATGTCAATAACAACGTTCACGTCAATAACAACGTTCACGTCAATAACAACGTTCACGTTAATAACAACGTTCATGTCAATAACAACGTTCATGTCAATAACAACGTTCACGTCAATATTAACGTTCACGTCAGTAACATCGTTCATGTCTGTAACAACGCTTACGTCAATAACAACGTTCACGTCAATAACAACGTTCACGTCAATAACAACGTTCACGTTATTAACAACGTTCACGTCAATAACTCTTTCCATGGGTCTATAATTGAGGCTCAAACTGGTCTAGGCAGCTGTGGTCGCCTGTTGTTCGAACCTATAAGCCATATTTAACCTTAAACATTTAACTATGTTGAATAACACTTTGTCTAGTGATACATAGACATAGCTATCCGTATCTTAAGTTCTGGTAACCATTGTTGCCGTGAGTGACGAGAGCGTTTTTTTGTGTTATTTTATCCATTTATATCTCTTGATTCACTCGATGTGAAATGGCGTCAAAGAATAAATTCAACGTATTAAACATGTGACATGCCATCATTCGTGTATCACGAACAGAATATTAGCCTCAAGGATAAATCTTCAAATTTCTTATTCTCATGAAATTGTACGAGAATCATATAAAGAAGAGCACTGCAGCCGTAACATAAGATCAGCTCGTTACCTTGAGCCGCGGCGCAGGCATGCAGGTCTGCTCTCTGGATTCTTTAAGTTTGCATGCTCGAAATTGCTTGTACCTTGGCTCGGAATTTCGCATCCCTAAAAGACTCGTAATCAAGTTTAGAAAGTCTGTTACCATAGGCTTTTTCTTCGTCATACCTACGCATCGAGAGGAATTCCTGTAGTTTTACGGATGCGCGAAAAGTTTCCCTTTTCTTTCTTTACAATGAAGATTAGCATTTTACATTAGATTAGCATTTTACAACGAAAATTAGTGTTTTGCACGGCGATATATTAAGTTGTCACTCGTAATTTCGATGTTGATGGCATTTATTTGATTTTTGTGTATGAAATATCTTGAATTTTACGAAAAAATTTTGTGAACACCTGGAATTCATTTTTGTGGGGAACTTCAAAGTTCTTTAGGATTTTCGACTCCTGAGTTCTACTGATCGTAGAAGTTTGCCCGCAGAACTTACCTTACCGGCTACGTACTTTGATAAACTTTCCCCTAACACGAAAAATACCGTTTAACGAAACGTAGGAATTGAGCTAATGCGTGTAACTCCGTTCACACTACGAGTGCGCGTGAAAATTCCAAAGTTTTTTGTGTTAATCTAATTTCTAAAACAGATTTTACCCGATTGTGTAACTCAAACGTTTTTGCTGCGAGTGTAAACTGTTTTACCCAAATTTATGTTTTACCCAGTTTCTGACGTAACTTCCTTGCATTCCTACCAGTACCATCTTTAAGAAGTAAGCACTATTTATTTTTATTTATTTCCAAAGTTCAAGTCATTTTCGTGAACCTTTAAAAATGTGAATAGATTCCCCAGACAAATGTTCCCACGACGCTCTTTTCAGATTATCCTACCATACTTCGCATAAGAGATTGTGTCTGTGGATTAGAATAATTAGATAGTTATATAATTTAAATTATATTGTCATTGAATTACCTTCGAGCTTATGTAGGGTACCCTTTGTAGTTACATTATTGAATACAATAACTGTGTGAAGTATAATCATTGTGAGGTATTCTCTAAATTGTACACTGTGAGGTTTACACTACCGTGTACTGTGAGGTGCAGACACTGTCACATCCACCACCAAGTTACATTATTATAGTTACATTATTGAATACAATAACTGTGTGAAGTATAATTATTGTGAGGTATTCTCTAAATTGTACACTGTGAGGTGTACACTACCGTGTACTGTGAGGTCTGTGAGGTGCAGACACTGCGTTCACATTCACCACCAAGATGCTGAGCTCAGCTATGGGAGGTTCGGTTCGGCTCAGCCAACCTGATATCAGGAACCTGATGTACTCGCCTGCAGATTTTCATGACGATCCCAGGTTGGTTTTTTTTTTAGAAAAAAACAGAATTGAAGATGTATCTTAACCAGAACCCTGAGAATATTAGACCTCACTTGATTTTTGGGATTATTTCCCGAAAGATTTTAGCGCTCAACTCATGTGAACTGAACTGAGTTTATCAGTCGACAATTAATCACAAAAATATGATATGAAAGGTCAATTTTTCGGATTTTTTTTGCCACAATTTCTATGAACAAACGAAGTTATTTTATCATATACGTAAAGTTTGGGATGAATGTAAATCCGTCTAAGGCATTTTAGGCAATCTGTTTCGCAAGCATCAACTATCATAGAAGAGTCTCAGGCATTTTCTTTCATTTCGCTATGAACTTTTGATTCAAACTCAAGATGCATCAAATAACGATTCGAATGATTTTGCTTAACATATTGATTTATTTTTGGTGAACTTTTTGGATCAAATATCGGTCTCTCTTGCCTCGAAAGCTTCATCCAAGATCCTGTTGATGAGCTCATAATATTTACATGTTTTATCATATTCTGAACGCCCGTGAAATACATGAAATAAAGATCCTGTTGATGAGCTCAAAATATTTACATGTTTTATCTTATTCTGAACGCCCGTGAAATACATGAAATAAATCGAGCGTATTTTTCTTTAGAATACTTATTTTTATGTGCCAGATTTGAAATGTGTTTATAAACTTTTTAGTTCGCCTACTCGTGATTTTTAATTGATTCTACTGCTTACATAGCTTCCTTTTGAACCACAGCAAATATGCCTCCTCATATTTTTCCCATTCAGAAGGATTGCCGTTGTTAATTTACAATGGCACTTTGAAGATTTACGAAAGTGAGAAAAGTGGAATTTTTTGTACATATTTTGTATTCAAAAGCAGTTTCATTTTCAAGTATCAATGCTGACAATTATATGTTTATTAATCAATACTTTTTTACTAGTAGCCAATGACCGCAATATATTTATTTATTTTTACCATTCTCAAATGGACTTGTTTTTTTATATTCTAACTTTTTATCTAATTATCATTTAATTTTAAATACTTCGCTTTATAGTGCTTAATATCGTTATACTGCTCAATATCTTAATTAGTATATTGTTATTGTTATTTAGCAGACAAAATATGTTTCTCATTGTATGTTATCTTCTCTTCCCTGGAGCCTGAGTCACTCGGACATTAGCAAGCTATTCGTCCCGGGCTCCAAGGATGACCCGAGACACGCCTTGTGAGTTCCTGTTCAGTGCAGTGAAAATACCACGCTTATACAATCTGGCTTCTTATAATATCCAATGGTGAAACCAAGCTAACCCCTCGCTTCATATAATATCAATGGTGAGGGCCAAGCTAACCCCTCGCTTCATATGATATCCAATGGTGAGGGCCAAGCTAACTCCTCGCTTCATATAATATCCAATGGTGAAATCCAAGCTAACCCCTCGCTTCATATAATATCCAATGGTGAGGGCCAAGCTAACTCCTCGCTTCATATAATATCCAATGGTGAGGGCCAAGCTAACCCTTCGCTTCATATAATATCAATGGTGAGGGCCAAGCTAACCCCTCGCTTCATACATCCAATGGTGAGGGCCAAGCTAACCCCTCGCTTCATAAATATCCCAGTGAAAATGCCACGCTATAATCTGGCTTCATCAAATATCCTAATGTTGAGGCCAAGCTATCCCCTCGCTTCATCAGATATCCCAGTGTTGAGGCCAAGCTATCCCCTCGCTTCATCAGATATCCCAGTGTTGAGGTCAAGCTATCCCCTCGCTTCATCAGATATCCCAGTGTTGAGGCCAAGCTATCCCCTCGCTTCATCAGATATCCCAGTGTTGAGGCCACGCTATCCCCTCGCTTCATCAGATATCCCAGTGTTTAGGCCAAGCTATCCCCTCGCTTCATCTAATATTCAAGTGTAAATGCCGCGCCTCCTCGCTTCATCTGAGATACCATCCTACAGGCCACGATATCCCCTCGCTTCATATAATATACACTACTGAAAGCCAAGTTATCTCTTCTCTTCATAAAATATACAAAAATTTCCAATGGCGAAGGCCAAGCTTTCCTCTCGCTTCATATAATATCCCAAGACGCACGCCTGGCTGTTAGATAAAAGTCCTTATCATCCACTCACCAGCGTTTAAGTTCTATCGAGTTTCCAAAAGTCAATGATAAATTTGTTTGAGTTTTTATTTTATAGCAGGTGTGCTGATTACGTGTTTTATTGATTAATGGTTTTTAATACGTTGGTGTGCAAGTAATTTATTTTATATATTAACGATTTTAATGGCATTCAAGTATGCTTATAATTTGTTGTGGGAAGGGAGGAAGCGGAAATTATCTTAAATGAAATCAGAATTTTAGGATAATTAACTGGCTGTTTGCTTCGAAAAAAGTTACGGAATAATACCGATTCTCGGAGAACGCAGATAATAATTCAATTGGTACTGCAATAAAGCGTCAGCTTTTACGAAAAATTGTTTCGCTATCTTGCCATGTATCTGACCAAACCCTCCCTCTTCACTAAGTTACAAAAACTGCCCCGTCACCGCAAGACGATGCTACAACAAAAATGTTATTAGGATGCGTCAACCTCTATCGAATTTTATTTTCACCAAACGTTCAATATTAATGCATAGACTTGATTTAATTTATGTTTAATGTGAAGAACAAATTTGGAGATTTCAAAGAAGTGTTTGCGTTTGGTTTAAAGGCTTAAATGAATTGGAATAGTTTTGTTATTTATATTTGTTGCGAAGAGCAAGAATGGAGTCCAATGATTTGAGAGACATTTCTCTCTTGCCACGCGCCGTTAGCATCTTCATTTGATTACGACGTAGCAACCATTGCTCTTAATTTAGCCCGATGCATTTGGCTCGTATACAATGATAAGTACTTAAAGCTTTACTTATTTGACTGTTCAGTGTAGCTTTTTGCGACGAAGGGGATTCTTTCAGTCTAAGATGCGCCGTAGTGTTTCATCGTGATTTTATGTCCCAAAAAAATATCGGTTGATATGCGACAAAACTTTCTTGACTTTCTCCGTGCGTGTTGAATTTACAAGAGTTCAGCCTGTACTCTCTATTCGATACGACTTAAAAAAATAAGTCAATTATTTCAACATAGTTTTCTCCTTCCATATTATTTTTTTTAAGTATTCCCTTATGACGAAACTGTCTCACTGCGTACAATTTGTTCCACCAGTAATCACGTACTGCGAAGTTAATTAAAGTTAGCGCCTATACAGTCCTTAATTATAGCGGAATTAATTCCTTTTTAAGTGGCGGTCGTTCAACAACCATTTCGCAAGCGGTCTGTGGAGGAACGTCTCACCGCGGCCGACCGCCCTCCGCAGCCATCATTGTAGTCAGGCCCCCGCTGCATTTCAATTGAGTTGCAGCAGTCGCCGGCCACTGCCCTGTATTCGTGAGACATTCAAGTGGCCCTTGAAATTCCTCATCATTTTCATGGCTTTGCCGAAGGCTCTCAAGTTCAGGGCCCATACTTTCAAAAAAGTTAAGAGTTCGATAGTTCATCAGACAATCATTGACGGCCTTTCAAGCAAAATCCACCAATCATAGACAAGAAAATAGAACGTAAGTACTTACGTTCACTTAGCGAGTTTTGAAAGTATGGCCCCAAGATATTTACGTCTTTGCGGCTGTGCTCCTTGGAAGCTTAACTGTTTCATGCCGTCATTGTTTGCTGCCTCGTTGGTCAGCATTATAAGTTATTCGTAACTGCTGCTATCTCGTAGTTTATAAGTATTTTTCATGTCTCTATTTATCAAAAGATTTGCAATCTTTCTATTTATGCAGGAATTAATAGATCGAAATGGCTTCGAAGCCAGTGGGGAGTCGAGGTGATAAACCTTTGGTTTCACCGTGTCACGAAATATACATTATTTGAAGATGGGAAGCTTTGCGTGAATAGTTCTCTACCACATCTGCATTGTTGCCACTTAGCTTTTTTACCGTTCCATGTATTCACTCTCGGCTTGGATAACTAAAATAACTCAAATTTCAGGAAGCGATTCAATTAATAAGAGATTTTTTATTATATTTCGTACCGTGTAGCTCGCGTCTCCATATCGAATATGTCTTCCCTGCCGTACGCCTTGGTCAGAGCTTGCATGCAAATGGAATAATTTGGCTGGCAAAAAAAAATCAGTTAAGCGACTTTCTGAATAATATTCGTGCTGCTAGCTTGGCAGAACTTCTGTGAATGAGACACATGCTCTCGTAATTTCGTTAAAATATGTATTTGCTGAACGAACTTTACGTAAGTTCTCTCTATAAGATCAATGTCTTATTATTAATTATAAAAAATGAGTGTTAGAAATTATAAAACTTTTCTCTAATATTTGGTGTTTTTTATGTGCGAGAATCTGCGTAAAATCAGCATACCAGTAGCTGAAGTAGTTTTTTTTCTTGCTCACGGAAAAGTATCAAGTCGAATAAAAAATTATACCCAGCTTGCATGTGCAAAATAAGATGGCCCTAAGATTTATGGAAAATCATAAAGTGACAAAAATTTTATATGCAGAAACACAGAAAATCAATTTTTAATAAATGTAATTAATTATTGCGGAAATGTCAAAACGCCCAGTGAATAGGTTCAGGAAAAATGATGCTCTATTTCTTCATCTTATTATTTTTTCTTATTTATCTTATAATTTTTTAATAGGTATTGCTCTATTCCCAATCAAAATGGTGATTAACTCACAAAAAATATCCATGGCAAAACAGCCCAAGCATTTCTCTGACCAGTGAAGTGTTTTTTTCATTCTCTCTGCGCACGGTTGCACCGCGGTCTGTCATCCCGCTCTTGGACGTCAACATCTAATTAACTAAAACTACACAAGTCCCCCTTAGAGACACTAGTTTTCCTTCTAACTCGCGCCGCCAATAAAGAAAACCACGCCCGTTGTTAGATTCCTTTCTCACGTTACATTAATATCTAGAGGTGTAATTTCACTTTTCCATTGCCATTCTGTAAATAATTGCATTATTTTTTGAGTTTGGCAAGTAGCGGTGGCTAGTGACGCGCCAGCTGTCACTAGCCACTCAAGTTGTGACGTCACACGACTCGTCGGAGGTGCTGTAGCCTCCCTTATGCCTGCCCCCAAATTTGAAGGAGGCAAACCCTAAACGCAAGAGCTGACTCAGCCACCTCCGATTATGAGAGCTGAATTTTCCATCTCTGATTCCGAGAACTGACTCTGCCACCCGCCAATTGTTAGAGCTGACTGTCATCATCGAACCCCTAGTGCTGACTCTGCTTTCTAAAAGTCCCGGAGCTGACTCTGTCACCCCTTAATTCCAAGAGCTGACGCTGCCACCCTCAAATCCAAGAGCTGACTCTGCCACCTCTAATTCCAAGCGATGACTCTTCCACCCTCAAATCCAAGAGCCAACTCTGCCCTTGCCCAATCCAACAGCTGACTCTGCCACCCTAATATCCAAGAGCTGACTCTGCCCCCGCCATGTCTAAGAGCTGACTATGTTTGCTGTCAGCTCTATTTGTGGTGTTGCCTTTGCTAATTCCTGGTGGCGGGATGAAGCAAGGCTTACTGTGTCCTTGACTGGAGATTAATCTTGCTCGAGTCTACAGCTGCTGGGAAGGTCAATGGAATTTACGCTGGACTTACTTGCGGCAGTGAAGAGCTACGAGAATATTAATTCTACCCTTTTGTATTATTATTCAATTGTATCCAATTTTACAGTGTTCTATAAATGTTGACGGATTTACTATTGATATGTTTTCACTTAAACATTTATTTATGATTATTTTATCATTATTACTAATAATAATATTAACATAACATAATAAATAACATTATTAACTGTTATCAATTATGAATAAATGTCTTTCGCAAGAAGTTTCAGATTTTCTTGGAGCGCGTGCTACACTCTGAATTAATTCGAAAAATCTTATCTCTTAAGAAATATTCATTCTTTCCAAATTTTCATTGAAAATTGTTTGCAACTTTTGAACATTATTATAGTCTCTGGCCTGAACTTTGTTTCGAAATATTGAGAGACTCCTTGCATACACATTCTGGCTTTCGGACTTGAAAATATTGTTCCTCTTACAAAAAGATGAGCGTTGTTTTAACTCTTATCAAAATTGATCTTTATAATTAATTTGTGCCGCCCTTCCATTAATTTTTTAACTTAATCGCTCTCGCCGGGACGCACAATTTAGTCCAATTATATTCATTAGGACATATTGGGATGAGCTTTCTGTGCGTAGTTCAAAATTGAAACAAACCAAATAAAAAATGGAACTGAATTGGAACTGTGTCAAATTTTGGAAAAAAAGTTACCCATCTTCCCATAAGTTTAATTCTTTTCACGATTTGCACCGGTCCGGAAGTTGAATTGTTTTCATGCGGTCGTCCGGGCACTATTGAGCTGTACGACAACATCGTCCTCAAAGAACTGCACTGCGGCACAAGCCGAAAACGTTCGACCAGACGTACGACTTGGAAGAGAGCTCGCCATGTAGGCTCTCCTAAAGCCGCCTCTGCTCCCTGAAGAATACGAGTTTCTAACTTTGGATCAAAATCAGTCAAGTAGAAGTCTTTTATGGAAGAACTTTTATATCGGGGCTGTGATGCTTTGTCGGATGTGGTCTTGTATAAGATCAAAAGAATTTTGACCTATATTTAATATTATATAAGATCTCCTGAGCATTTTCTGTCCTGACTCTTACTCATTCGTTTACAAAATGCATTACAGTTTAGAAATTGAAACATTCGAATGTTGGAATTGCCCTGGCGACATTCACGAACTATATACATGTTCTAGATGCTAGTGGCAACAAGGAACTTGCACGAGTTTTCATGATTTGAATTTGACCAGAGTCATTGCATCATTGATGTTTAATATTCCGAATACGATATTTGTAAAGATGATAAACGCGGAGAGATAAGTCATTAATTCATTAGTTTTTTAAAAGTTATTAAAAAAATTTAAAAGTTAATAAAGGTAAACTTATTTTATTTTATAAAATAAGGATATATAGTGTCTTCGTGAACCCGTTGAATAAAATGCTGTTAGATTGATTTGCAGCGTTTTTTTTTGGGGGGGGGGGGAAATCGCCTGTTTTTGAACCCAGCTTCGGTCTTACTTTAGTTACAAGTTTCCTGTTCAACTGATCTTCCCCGCAGTCTTAATCATACGCCATCAATCATTATTTGTTGAATAATGAACTCGACAATCGTTACTAATGAGCGTAATTAATAACGTCATCAGGAATTTAAAAGCAAAGAAAATACCACAAAAATTCACCATATCTTTATAAGAGAAAACGTTTCGGAGTCCAGCTCCATCGTCAGTTCAAAACACAAAATTCTGTTCATTTTCTAGGACTGAACTTTTTCTGAACAGAATTTTGTGTTTTGAACTGACGATGGAGCTGGACTCCGAAACGTTTTCTCTTATAAAGATATGGTGAATTTTTGTGGTATTTTCTTTGCTTTTAAATTCCTGGTTAACTTGCGATTCAAGCAAACAAGTGATTTTAATACTTAATAACGTCATGTTTTGCCTATTGTAGCTATAAATGTTCTGCGCGCATGATGGGACAGTTTATTTGAGCTAAATAATAAACGGGTGAGCTTTGATTGTTTATTAACTCTGAAAACGTGATTTTCTCCCCTGTTTCTGATTTTTCATTATAAAATTACCATGCAGATTTTCATTTTTTTTTCAAATGCCACGCTTTCAAATATAACAATAAAACCTTAATACGTGCATTTTCATTTTTTTATTATATATATTATGCTGATACTGAAAACAATTTCATTTTCACAATACTTATTTAGTATAGCAGGAACTGTAGTGCACAGTATTCAGTTACTATAGTCCACAAATGTCTTAGTGTTTTGCTGTAGCAATTAACAATGTTGTTTTCTAGATACCGTAGTGGTGCGCCGTAGTGAAATACTTCGCTATGCAAAATAGTGGTAGAGGCTTACTAGTCTGGTTTCTAGTGAGCTTGTATTTAAGTTCTAGTATTTTTAGGTCCAAGACTGTGATAGCAGTTCCTAGCAGTTCGTCTGTATGAGGTAGCCTCACTCAGAGGAATGTATGGGCCAAATTGTCCAAATAGTGAATCACTTTCTACACGTTGCACTGATTCCTATATTTTTCAAGCCATATTGTGTCGGGATGACCCACGCAAGTGCAAAAAGTTGATCGCTATTTGGCCAAAGTCTTACTAGTTTCTCCGAGCGCAGTCGTTGCATGAATGTTTTCTAATGAGACGCTCCCTCCTTTGCAGAATGTCACTGTAAGTAAACTACGAATGCTGTAGACGTTCATCTTCGGGTTCTGCATGAGATGATAGTGAGTTATGTGCGTGGTCCTGCTCCCTCATTAACCAGGTCACCATTTAAAATAACTAATGAAATAATCCGACATTCTTTGCCATAATTAAGGATATTCTTTTTGTCTGAATGATTTGCACTGATGGGAAATTTACATTAATTCATCCGCGAAGAGATTCCAAATGTTCAACCTTTTTGAATTCCAAAGCGGATTTGAATTAGAAAAAATATTTTATTGTCAATCTAGCGTTGAGTAAACATCGAAAAATATGAGAAAGTCGAATTGCTATTCTCGTGTGGGCTTTTCGCACGTCTGAATGTAAACTTCGATTTCTTCGTTGGCGTTCATTTTACAACGCAAGTTATAAACCCTCACCTTTCGTGTGTCTCGTGACACCATCTTGAAATTATTTTTGTTTATAATTCGTTGTCGTGGCGAGACTTAACAAGGCATTTGAATGATTGTCTTGGATTGCTTCGTAATGCATGGAGCTTATTTTCGTTCACTGCTATTAGTCTTTCTGTCCGACTTCTGCCGATTGTTTCTTCTTTCGATTCGCATTAACATTGGGTCAAATTAATTTTATTACTATAATTCTTTTGTGTTGTTTGCATATCAACCGACGGAACAAAAATAAGGTAGTTACGTTTTTTATGCTTGACAGTTGTGCAAGATATCGACAATTTGTTTTACTTTTCTTAATGCGATTCTTTGCTAATCAGAAATTAAACGTTCGAACAATAAATAACCCATGTTGATCTTTACACAGCACAAATTATACAATATGTTTTACTGTTTTTTGTGTTTCGCTGAACATCCATTCATTCTCTCTGCAGTTGGTAGCTTATCAACTGCTGATCAAGATATAAATTTCTAATCATTATAGCCACGCAATCCGTACGTGGGCTTTTAAATATAATTATTAATAATAATAAATTAGCAATAAAAAATAATATTAATATTATTAGTAATAAATTAATATTTTAAATAGAAATATTAGTTTTTAGTTAACACACAGACGGTAACTTGATGCACATTACCTCGACACGGGTAACGTATCTGATGAGTATTGATGATACAAGGAAATAGCATTACGCGTATCGGCTAATATCTCCGTTATGGCTCACGGCGCCAGCAAAGAAACTTAGACCTTAGATGAGTAAATTCTGGCTGACGTTAATAGCGGGATTTGTGAAGGACCTTTGCGTATTGTGCATTCGAACATATTTATGAATATGGTTTCTAACATTAAATTACGTTTGATGATGGTTAATATTTTGCAATAAGATCTTGAAGAGCTACGAGGACGTCTTGCAAATTTCTTGCTTAACATTCACATCTCGTAGTAAATGACGTACCAGAAAGCATGTTGCTGCACCTGCTTCTATCGCGTTCGTTGCATTAGCGACTATTTATTTACAATTTTTACAAAATTTATTCCAATTGCAATTTCGAACAGTGTTGCTCAATTTCAATGTCTGTAGCAAACAGTATTGCTGTATTCCAATTTCTCTAGCAAACAGTATTGCTCTATTTCAATTACTCTAACAAACAGTATTGCTCTATTTCAATTTCTTTAGCAAACAGTATTGCTCTATTTCGATTTCTCTAGCAAACAGTATTGCTCTATTTCAATTTCTCTAGCAAACAGTATTGCTCTATTTTATTTCTCTAGCAAACAGTATTGCTCTATTTCAATTTCTCTAGCAAACAGTGTTGCTCTATTTTATTTCTCTAGCAAACAGTATTGGTCTATTTCAATTTCTCTAGCAAACAGTGTTGCTCTATTCCAATTTCTCTAGCAAACAGTGTTGCTCTATTTCAATTTCTCTAGCAAACAGTGTTGCTCTATTTCAATTTCACCAGCAAACTGCTGCTTTGAGATATAGCGATAAACTAGCATCACTTGATTAAAAATCGCCTCAGCGTCGTTCTTATTATAGTTAGTCATCAACGAAGCACTAATCGCGGGATTGAATTCTGCTCCTAATTTATTTCTCAACTTGTTCTTTGATGTGAAGTCTCGCACGCGCGAGGCTCGAAATAGTAAAGTTACGCCTCCACGAGTGGCTAATGCTCTGAACACTCTGACTGATGATTGGCTTTGCTGGAAACTCTTCTCAATATAATAATATCTCTAGAGAGGAGTATTTCAACGATTGATATTTCATTGCTTACTAGACGATTGCTTCATTGCAAGAGTTTGCGTCATCTTTAACAGTTTATTACCTTGCATCTTGCCAGTTGAAAGAACTGCAGTTTTCTATGCATTCGAGCTTAGAGAAAGTCGAGAAAGATTACAAGTTCATATGTTACTAAGTGCGTTTAACGAGAGTTTGGTACACATATGCATAAAACGACCACGGCCTATAAATTCCTAAATTCCAGGATGAATTGGATTCTCTTTGTGATCTGACAACCAAAGAATTATAGGAATTTAGAAACAACATTTCCATGTGCAGAAATTGTAAGCCGAGCCCGGCAATTGCACGAGTGTTGTATCAGACGGACCTGATCTTAGCGAAGTTTTGTTCTCGCTACTAGAGCAAGAACTTGCTAAATGTCGTCCATTGTCTCATGAATTCATCTAGTGATGGTCTTACAAGGACAGCTAGCAGGGTCCCAATCTTGGCTCTGTAATGGGTTTGACCTTGTGCCCTATGACCTAGGATATACTTAGACTTTGAGGAATAAAGTAACTGCAGTGAGCACAAATATAAAATATAATGTAAAGTATATAATACTTCACTTTCATGTTGAGCGCTCAACGTTGCGACTGCATTTCGTTCTCTTGTTTTAGTTAGAGGCATCGTTTCTGGAACTCGTTCTGTGCACGAGTCTTGAGGATGAGCTATAAGCTATCATTTAGTCGTAAATGTGACTTAGAAGTTTGTAAATATTGTCTCCGATTTTAGGTTTTAATTTTTGATATCTTTATATTGTATTTGTACAAAGATAAGACTGCACTGAAAAATTTTATAGCTGCTCCTTTTTAAATACTCTGATGCCGGTCTGCTCAGCATAACGCGGTATAGACCAATCGAATCTTCATTTTATCATTAAAATTAATTTACCGATTTGCTCACAAGTAATTTAGGTACGTTCCTGACGTGCAATATGATGGTAAATCAATGGCCAAAACTTCAGTCTAACAGCTAGAAACTTACTAGCCAGCCATCATCCGTTACATTTTCCTAAGGAGTTGCCTCTGCGTTGATCCATTTCAGCCTAAGTTATGTCTATACTTTTACCATAAATTTAGGCTCAAACGGTTTAAGTTTTCAGCATTACCCCTCTCATCTCTTCTCCTTCCCTCGTCGTCAGTCCTTGCTTGCTTGTTCAGTCACGCTGTCCCTTCATGTTTATTTCGATGATTATTTATACGCATGAAGCGTTTACCGTCTGACAGACACTCAGCCCAATTTAGATCGTATTTTTTTGTCCACGAAACCGTCATAACAGTTACGGTTTTGCTCCACTCGAGAGTCATAATACGTAGCTGTGCCCAGTGCCAGCGTAGGGGCAGTGCAGTGTGCCGTATACCAGCTTCATGGGCGCAGTGTGTCATAACATGGCACCTAAAATGTGTTACTCATGCACCCGTGTTGCGATATAATACGGCGCTAATACGATGATCGTAACTCGTACACGAGACTCGTGTGCGTATTGGATTGTGCCCGCCCAGAAGTTATCAAGAGTGAGATCGTTTGGATACGTAACAAGTCAGAACTGAAAAATTTGCGCGACTTTTTTCTTTATGTGAATGCAAAATAGAATTTGGAAAGTGAAGTGCCCAAGAAAAGTTCAAAAAGTATTGCGCTTGTGATGCCTAATTTGTTGCTTATCGGTGGCCATGTAGAGTTGCCACTACGTTCCTACGAGTTTTGGAAATTCACTTCATTTTCTGTTCATTCATCGTTACCTTAAACACAAAATGCACGGTATACATATATATTTATTTATTTATTTTTTCAAAGTTTTTAAGCTCCAACGATTCTTCAGATGACGTTGGTTGATCAAAATGCAGGTTTTAAGAAGTAATTTCAATTTATTAAAGACGTGGAAAATGTGACAACATTGATTTTCAATTTATAGAAAGCATTGAATAATGAAATTTTTTCTGAAAATAAGTACTTTATACATGTAAATATGATACAATACAAAAATTTTGAACTGTGAAAATAACTCTGAAACAGTCTCAAAGCTCGGAAGCTCCGGTAGTTATAAAATGGGATAGCCAGAGTCCAATGCGTAGAGATGAGGGCTTCAGCTATCGTCGGTCGCATGACGTCGGGCCACTGCTAGATGACGATGCTGGTGGGTTCCTCCAGCACAGCGGGAGTGACGTTCTCGTTGAGTTTGACGTTCTTGTCAACGGGTATAGAGGAGCCTGTTAAGTTCTTCGTGGATCTTGAGATGAAGTTGCCCGATTGTAATACTTTGAGACCGGGCCATACTTTCAAAACTCGCTAAGTGAACGTAAGTATTTACGCTCTATTTTCTTGTTTATGATTGGTGGATTTGGCTGGCTGACGTCAATGATTGGCTAACGAACTTACGATCTCTTAATTTTTTTGAAAGTATAGGCCCTGGTCTGGTTACGAGATTGCCTCATGTGGCAGGATAAACGGCTGCTCTATGTCGTAGTAATTACTCCAATTACTTGTAGTAATATAAAAATAACATAAAGAGAAAAATAACAATCACCTTGTAAGAGCTCCGATACTCTGAACCCGAGTCAAGTTCAGCCTGCACTTGCACTTGTTTACAAGCTGTAGCTTGCGACAGTTTATTCGGAGTTAAAGAAGGCGAGAGGAGATAACGTCTCTGAGTGTGGCTCGCAGCCAACACCAGCAGGAAGATTACTTCTCTTGCTCACTGCACTGCCTTATTATACATGAAATAGAAAAATGCGGTTAAATGAAGAGCTACTGCACCGCCTTATTATACATGAAATAGAAA